AACATATATGACTTGTAATGGCTATATTCATATATGGATTGCTAGTAACGTTTGATATCTATTGGTTTTTGCGTGGCTTATGGTCAGCTATATTAAATTAAAGTAACGGGATAATTAAATATCTTTAAAATAAAATAAAAACTAATAACATTTTCTTGATAATGTAAAACAATATGTGACTTACAATGTTCACATCTGTGCATTTTTATATAGTGATATCTAGTATCGCTAGATTAGTATCTAGTGTATTTAAGTCTATCTGTGGCTTATGACCGCTCAGATAAATTGTATTAAAACTTCTTTCATATATTTATAAAAATAATAATATATTCTTAATGCTCCATCAAAACATATGCCTTGTAAATGCCATGTCTGTCTATTGACATGGCCATTCATTGATCGATATCTAGCATCGCTAGAGACCAAAAGTTTTTTTCGTCAGTTATGGCCAGCTGGATTAATCTAATTTAACATCATTTATATGCATATTCAAAATAAAATTAAATTTGTTAAAAATTTCTTAATAATATTTAAAAGAAATATATAACTCGTACTGCACACAGGCAGCCATAACTGTCTCTATGTATAGATCGATACAATGCGCCACCATTTATTAAAATATAATTTAATATTAATTTAAACTTATTAGAGACAACCTTGAATAATATTGCATTTTTGATATATATCGGATTCAGACAGTCAGCATTCCGTCAAATAAATTGAATTCAATTACCAAACTTAAATAACCACACTAAGCACCAGGCACAACCATCCATAACAGCACCACCACCACAAAATTAACAATCATCATCATCACACCAATAATTTAAAAAAACAAATGCCAAACAGAGCTGTCTATGGATTCTCATGTACCTAGTAAAGCTATCAGTGCACATTATCATCAAAAGTAAATCACAAGACAGCCAAGATTCGACGACATCGTCACCACAATGTCAAGCAATTATGAGAAATGCCTCCGAGCGGTATAGAAAGTACAAATACACTCGACGGTGTTAATGATCATATCATTTCGAATAATGTTCGAAATGAAAGCAAAGAAATAAGAACAACAAGAAACAATAAAGTATCTATGATGTAAGTAAATCAAATAAAATCACGCATCATTTGTCAAAAAGCTGATAAGAATTTGGCGGTTCGAATTGAGTTGTGAAAGGTTAAGGTCTTCACTTCACGGGCCATGAGTAGGACAAGAAATTTTAAAACAACAGCAACTCACCGACTCAGCAACTCAGTAACTCTTGTTTAAGTTTTGTAATTAATAATTAATCCAGTTGAGATTTTGTATAACAAATTTACTCATTCGAAATTAATATTTATACTTCCCGTGCCTCCTCTCATCGACCTTCCCGTGTGATAGAAGAAAAAATGGCAAGTGATAACGATTTTGGTTTGCGAATACGACGAGTATTTGCATTTCTCATACGGGTAGACGGGCAGCCGGGTAGGCGGGCAGTCAGCAAATGCTAAGTATCAGCGAAACCAACCGATGAACTACTGTAACCGCCGCCACACAATTTAGCTGACAGACGGACAAACCGTTGAATGGTTACCAACTACATAAAGTTTAATGAGAAAGCACTTAACACTTTGAAGGCTTTTCACTTTTTTGTTTTATTGTGTCATTAGAATGATTTTTGTTGCTACTTCGACGGCTGCTAACTAACATTTCTTAACTTGAAACCTTTTTCTGCCTTCCTGCCCTG